AGAGAGAACCAGCAGATGAGTTGTCTCTTTCTCCAACTATTTCTTTCTGTCTTAAAACAAGAATATGGCCCCAGAATCTGCAAATATTTTCAAAAGAAGCAAAATGTTACTAAAGATCACTTAGAATCATGATGACCATTATGTTGAATGAACAGCATTGCATTTCAAAATGAAGGTGAGGGGAAGGCACTGGCCAGTTAAGACATCCATGTCCCATATTGGAGTAAGTGGGTTTGATACCTGACTCTGACTCCTGATTCCAACTTCATACTAACATGGACTCTGGAAAGTGGTGATAATTGCTCAACTAATTGGGTTTCTATTATACATAGGGTCTCAGATTGAGTTCTTGTCTCCTGACTTTGGTCTCCTGGCCATTGCAGGCATTAGGAGAGTGAATCAGCAAATAGAAGCTCTCTCTTTGTCTCTTTCTGCCTTCAATTAAAGAAACACTTTTTAAAGAAAAAACTAAAATGAAGGTTCTTTGGTTTCATCATTGGGAACTTAATCTCCAAATCATATATTAATGACATTTGAAAGTGTACTTTAGGAAGATAATTAGGATCACTTCTCTGCCTTTTGGCTAAGATCAAGTGTAGGAAGGTAATTAGGATGAGGTGAGACTGTGAGTGTCAGGCCCCCGTGGTGGCATCAGCGGCTTTGTAAGGAGAGGAAGGGAGGCTCAAGCTAGCACGTTTGCTGTGTCTCACCACATGATGCCATGCTCCATGTTACGGTGCAGCAAAAGGGTTCTCACCTGATGCTTAGCCATACTCGAGAACCATGAGCCAAATAAACTTCTCTTTTCTATAAATTTCTCTATACTTAGTCTTCAGTATTTTGTTACAGCAATAGAAGATGACTAGGACAGAGGGCTCCCAATTAGCCCACCCAGGGATACTTATTGACGTGCAGAACCTTCTAAAAAGGTTACAAACTTTTATTGCCTGTTTTAAAAGACTGTTTATAAAGGACAAATGGAAAGCTTAAATGACTAATCAATAAGAAAAATTGAATCTGTTACCATTTTCACTTAGTTACCGTCCCATTCAATAACAAGAAGAAAGCTAAATGTTTTTGGTCTTCTGGTCAAATGGATTTGCTTCTTTATTTGAGTCCAGGTATATAAAAACACTTTCTCTGCCTTGTTCTTTAATGGTCTCTGCCATGAATTCAGTCATCTAGCTGAAACACAGAAGTTAAATAGAAAAGACTGCTTTTCTAAATAAAACAGTTTCAAAAACACAACTTTCTAGTATTTAGTTGGCTGTTTTGAAATGCTTTTGCCATAGTTTGCAAAAGATTTGGCTCCAGAACTCATGCTGGACTTTAAACCTCAAAGTCATGGTTAACAGCACTAAGAAGATGGGAAATAAATCCAATTATGATCTTTAGTGGGAGGTCTTAGGTCATCTGTGCATGCCCTTAGAAGGTCGTTCACAGGAGAAGGTTGGCTATATATAACCTAAAGCTGGGTCCAACCACTCTCTGTCTCCTTCATGGCTTACCATGTGATCCTCCCTTCACTATGGCTCCACACTCCCTCTTAACATATGCTCTGTGTTGCCTCAGAACTCTGCCAGGAAAGAGACCTCATCAGATACCAAGCCAATAGGACCACCAGATCTTCCACTGTGAACCTCTAAAACCACAAGTCAAAACAAAACTCAGTCCTTCATAAGTAGCTACATGTTTCTTCTAGTAATTAAAAGCTAATAGAGCCTTGTAAAAAAAATGTACATCTATCAAAGAAACGTTCATTTGTAAGGGCATCTCCCTCTCTGCATCAGGAAGAGAAAAACGACTTTCACTAGAAACTCTTACTATGGAGAAGGCATTAGCTTAAATTAACATAATAAGCCTTATTTTTGTTTAAGGTGATTTTTTGGCCATCTTACCTTAGTTGGGGATTTACCTAAAACCTTACTTCTTTGAGCCAATGTAGTCCTAGCTCTGTGCCTTTGAGTTGTAAATTTTCTACATTATTTTACCCAAAGTACATCCTAAGTGATTAATGATAACACGTATAGCTTGAACACACTGCTCAAAGTCCCAAGCAGAATGGTATAATATTTTGTCATACTATGTAAAAGAGTATATAATTTAAAATCTATGAATTGTTTATGTCTGGAATTTTCCAGATATATCTGGGATTTAATGCTTTTGGATTGTGGATGACCATATGTATTATAGAAAGCAAAACTGTAGGTAAGTGAGAAATACTCTATCATCTCAGAAAAATAGTAACTAATCAAAATTGATATAATATGAATAGGCAGGCAGCCAGTTAGGCCTAGATGACCTGGAAATGTTGCGACCCTGCAATATAATGTTCTCTCTTTATCTGTTGGCCTAAAATGCCCAGCTTCCCAGGACACACCTGTGTCTCATCTAGGACTAGGAATGGGGAGACAACATGATGACCATATGGATATTAAACTCCATGTGGAGAGCCGGTGCTGCGGCTCAAAAGGCTAATCCTCCACCTTGCGGCACCGGCACACCGGGTTCTAGTCCCAGTTGGGGCACCAGATTCTGTCCCGGTTGCCCCTCTTCCAGGCCAGCTCTCTGCTGTGGCCCGGGAGTGCAGGGGAGGATGGCCCAAGTGCTTGGGCCCTGCACCCCATGGGAGACCAGGAGAAACACCTGGCTCCCAGCTTCGGATCAGTGCAGTGTGCTGGCCACAGTGGCCATTGGAGGGTGAACCAATGGTAAAGGAAGACCTTTCTCTCTGTCTCTCTCTCTGTCCACTCTGCCTGTCCAAAAAAAAAAAAAAAAAACCCTCCATGTGGAGGTCCTGTAAAACTCCCAGATGGTCTCACACATGCTAAGGCACCACCCCTTTCATTCATTCATAAAAATGAATGAGAATGAGGGAGAAGCGCCGACCATGGTTGGGGGTATTTTTCAAGATTTTTCCACTCTCTTTATCTTTGGGCAACCCTCTGGAACACCATGGGATGTTTCTGCATGTGGGGCGGCCCACACTCATGTATGAATGTATGTTCACTTTCTCACCTTTAAATAAATTCTAGTCCTACTTGTGCATGTTACTATGCCTTGACTTAGAATTCTTATTGTGAGGGGCAGGAACCTAGCATAAAAATTTAGGTACCCAGACTCACATCAAAAATGTTTTTCAAATTTTCACGAGCTGGGTAAATCTTTGGTAAGTATAGTTTAATATTGTTGCGCCGGCACCGTGGCTCACTTGGTTGGTCCTCTGCCTGTGGCGCCAGCATCCCATGTAGGCACCGGGTTCTGGTCTCAGTGGCTCTTCTTCCAGTCCAGCTCTCTCTCTGCTGTGGCCTGGGAGGGCAGTGGAGGATGCCCCAGGTGCTTGGGCCCCTGCACCCGCATGAGAGACCAGGGGAGGCACCTGGCTCCCGGCTTCGGATCAGCACAACACCAGCCGTGGCGGCCATTTGGGGAGTGGACCAAGGGAAGGAAGACCTTTCTCTCTGTCTCTCTCTCTCTCACTGTCTGTAACTTTACCTGTCAAATAAAAAAAAAAAATAAAATAAGTTTAAAAAATATTGTTAGCTTCATTAAAACAGCCATATCTTCTGAGTTATCAGAAAAAAAATTTATCTGTAGGGGTCTGACTTCGGTGATGAATACCTGATTTGCAGATGCTATAAAAATGGCTAACAGGGAAATAACTTGAGATGATGGCCAGCTTTTTCTAACATCCTATGAGATTTTTCATGAGCTATTTAAGCACAACTGAATAAAAAGTAAGTGGAATATATGTTTACAAATGAGTGTTTTTAACAATAATTAAATTTTTCAAAACGTTTACCTAAAAAGTTTCCCAAATCTCTTTGGCAACTTCTCCCTTTCGAATTATGCCAGCTAAATTGAATGACGGCTATTTATTGAATACCTGCATTATTTCTAAATAAGATAAAACATGAAACAGTTTGAAATCAAGCCCATAAACAGTGTCTTAAAGGCAGATGCTAGATATCGTCAGGCCCAGTCTCCTAGAATCCTTGCCCAGCTTTTTGATAGCAAATCAATCACTGACTAAAATTAACTCATTGAATTAAGGGAGTGGGGCAGCGAGCCCCAGAAGGTTCTAATCACTGGACTCATGAAGGCGTTTGCTTCTCCAATAGATAACACCTTGATGGTATTGACGCAAAGGGTTTTGTTGCAGGGAACTCCAGGTGTGGTGCAGAAAATAACTACTACCTGCACATAGCCCCTAAACAAACTGTAGCCCACCTGGCCATCAGATAAATTCCCTAAAGAACACGGCATTACTGACCAATAAAATAAAGGCCACAAGCACTGTCAAAAATCCAGGAGCTTGGACACAAGCTGAACAAGAATCCCCAACTTCAATCTGAAAGAACTTTCACCCCCTAATCCCTCGGGAAGCCCAGGAGTTAAATGATAGCTGCCCACCTACTGGCTCTGCACTTTGCAATAAGAGCCTCCTTTCTTCTTCCACTTGTCTATCACCACCTTGATGTCCGTCAGTTTCTGCATGTAGGGACCCAGGCCTGGGGATTCCAAAGCAACTCCTCCGACCAGCCTTGGGTGTTGTTCTGTAATAAGTTTACTTCTGACTTCTTAAATTGTATGGAGAGACAGAATATATTTGGGTCTCTTTATAAAAATGTCCTGTTCCACCTTGAAAAACTGTCCAGTGAAGAAGCACATTTTGAGAAAGTATGAAATATATATTCATAAAATATTGGTATAGGGACAGATAGCTAAAAATTGCTGACTTCATAAGGTTTTCAGTGTAAGTTACTAAGAGTAAAAATTCTAATTAATAGACAGATGATAATTAAAATAACTTCATATGGAAGGAAAGTAGTAAGAAGTGTCTTTTAGCAAATGGAAGCTTTAAGTTGAATTTTTACTGAGAAAAAATAGAGTAATTTTCATCCTAAAATAGAATCATTGGTTGTTCTAAAATAAGAAAAGAGGAAAAACATAGAACAAATTGTAGATTTTAGGATTTTGTATGTCCCAATCGACACAGAGGTGGCTGGTAAAGGCAGAAAAGGCTTCCCTTGTGGACAGAACAGCATGGCAGGAGAAGATTCACACTGACAGCAAGCGGGGAGTCAGAAAAGAGGTTCAGCTCCCCAGGAGGCAGGCAGTCATCTTTTTAAACTCTTGCCTAGGGAAGGAGCCTTGCATATGTACAGAGACCCACAGCCACCACGATAAGGCAGGTCTGAATGGGCAGACGACCCCTTGACGATTGTTTGTTGAAGGAAACAATGCACAGCGTATGCTCTTATCAGCTCAGGGTTTCCTGGGCAATGAACTGAACAAACTGTTGCCAAGCCAGTGGAATCTCAGACAATAAGATCCCACTGTGTCGTTTTTAGGGTTATTTTATTCGTGCCTAATTCTATCAGGTTTGAAGGTTAACTACTTGTGTCCCAACAGCCTGGTAAGTAAGGCCCCAAAAATCCAGCATTTTATTACAAAGAATGAAAGAGGGCAAAAGAAATAGAGAAAAAGCAAGGAAGGGAAGGAAAGAAAGAAAGAAAAGGGAAGAGAAGAGAAGGCAAAATTAAATAATGTGTAGCAAAAGGGAAAGTGAAGCAAGGGCAGAAACAGGAATGGAGGTGAAGACAGTCTCACTGGCTACTTCTTGCTGAGAAAGGTGTAGTCAGTAGAATGGTTCCTCCCTCTCCCAGTGAGGGTGTGGGAACAGCAGATGGTATCAGAAACCCCTTAGCAGGAAGGTATTATCAACATGAGTTTGAGTGAGGTTCTGGACCATTGGGTGATGAATTACCTCTGTAATTAAAGGTGCATGGCCCTAGGGACATAAGAAGCAAACTTGTTATGGGTGGAGTGAGAGAGGGTGCAAGCCAAGGTAGCCAGGAGGGTTTTTGAAACCAATTATTCCAAGAGTCAGACATGTACTGATGAATTTTGGATGCCTTGTCCACCAAGTTGTAAGCAGCATAATATATGAGACCAGATTGATTGACACAGAAACAGCACTCTGTCTATGAATAAACAGAGACCCACTTTTTCCTGCTGTTAGCAGGTCCGAGTCTCATCAATATTGTAGGGTTAGTGCTGCCAAGGAGTCAACTTAGTCTTTTTTTTCCATGATCAACTGGGATTTATTCCAGGAATGCAGGGCTGGTTCAACAACCACAAATCAATGAACGTATCACATCAACATCAAGTAATCGTCTCAGTTAATGCAGAAAAAGCATTTAACAAACCCAACATCCATTCGTGATAAAACCTTGAACAAATTAGAGATGGAAGAAACACACCTCGACACAATAAGGCTATTCAGGAAAATCCCACACGCAACAACATATTGAATGGAAAAAAGCTGAAAGCATTTCCTCCAAGATCTAGAACCAGACAAGGATGTTCACTCTCATGGCTCTTAATACAGTACTGGAAGTTTTAGAGCAATGAGGAGAGAGAAATAAATTAAGGGCACACAGATAGGAAAGGAGGAAGTCAAGTAGTCTGTGTATGAAAATGACATGATTCTTTTTTTTTTGAAAGATTTTATTTATTTCATTTGAAAGTCAGAGTTACACAGAGAGGAGAGCAAAGGGGGGGTGGTTTTCCATCTGCTGGTTCACTCCCTAGTTGGCCGCAATGGCTGGAGCTGTGACAATCCAAAAGCGGGAGTCAGGAGCTTCTTCTGGGTCTTCCACGTGCGTGCAGGGGCCCAAGTACTTGGGGCATTCTCTAGTGCCTTCCCAGGCCACAACAGAGAGCTGGATCAGAGTGGAGCAGCCAGAACCCTAACTGGCACCCATATAGGATGCTGGCACCCCAGCCACGGCTTTACCTGCTACACCACAGCGCCAAATGACATGATTTTATATTCAGAGAGACCTATAGACTCCAAAAAGAGACTAATAACCAACAATAAATAAGTTTAATAAAGGTGTATCACACAAAACAAACACACAAAAAATAGCATGATGAATTAGTTCAGAAAGAGATTATACAAACAATCCAATTCACAAAAGCTACAAAAAAGTATCGTGTAATAAATTTAGCCAAGGATGTGAAAGACCTCTGCAAATAAACTAATGAAAGAAATTGAAGACACACACACAAAGGACACACACACAAACAGACTTTCTATGTTCATGGAATTAATATGAAAATATCAATACCACTCAAGGCAATCGCCATCAAAATATCAGTGACATTCTTCAAAGAACTAGAAAATCCTAAAATTCATATGGAAGCATGAAAGACACAAAGTTTCTTTTGACCTCTGTAAGAGGTCAGATTCACTTTTGCCGTGACTCGGATATGAAGCCTAGGCAGGGTTTAGTGTCGTTCCTCCATGAAGAGGGGGAGCGACATAATGGTGCCGTGACTCGGATATGAAGCCTAGGCAGGGTTTAGTGTCGTTCCCCCATGAAGACGGGGAGCGACATAATGGTGCCGTGACTCGGATAGGAAACCTAACTCGGATAGGAAACCTAGAACGGATAGCAAACTTAGGAGGGAAGAAACGGGAAGAACTGGGAAATTACCGGAGAGAGAGACTAGCAAACAGCCTAGGGAAAAGCCGGACGAAAAGAGGTGCCGGAAGAAGCTGTTGAAAGCCTAGGCATAGACTCGTATACGGACTACGGGGGGAAGCTGGGAGAAATCTCTAAGGGCGAAAGCGAAAGTGAAAGCTAGAACAAACAGACTTGGACGCGGACTGTGGGGAGAGGCCAGGAGAAATGAGGGAGGAATATTGTTGGAGGAAAGCTTGGGGAAACATACCGGGTAGAGAAAAGTATTAGGGAAATTGAAGCCGTGGGGGGCAGGCCGAGGCGGATACGAAAGCCACTTTGGGATTCTCAAGTTAGCCCGGGAATAGGGGGCGAAAAGTTGAAACCAGAAGCTGAAACGTGAGCCTGGTTGGGATCCGTCTGATTAGCCCGGGGAGCAAAGGACGGGAAGCCAAACCGTGGGGCGGAGACGTACGCTGGGTTGAATTCGCCAGGCTAGCCCGGGGAACTTAGATTGAATGCTAGTGGCGGACACGTAAGCTACGCTGTGTTACTCGCGGAAGCCGCCGCGTGCAGAGAGCATGGGGCGTGAATAGATAGGGAACGGGGCTGGCGCGAGGCTGTGGTTCAGACGCGAAAGGGTTAAGCGTGGAGACCGCGGAGCGCGCGAAGCCGAGCCGCGCAAAGCCGGGAAGCTGCGCAGATGAGAGAGGCGCGGGCTGAAGCGGCGCAGAGCCGGGAACCCGCCGGCGGGGCGAGGTGCCGGGAAGCTGCGGGGATAAGAGAAACAGAAGTTTAGAAGTAAGATGAGAAAAATAGGAATGCTGGAAGATAGAAGTAAAATGGGAGAAATAGGAATGCCCGGAGATAGAGAAATAGAGAAAAATAAGGCCTCCCCTCAACATGGCAATTAGAAGGCTTGGATTCGGTCTGCCCGATTAGTGAGGCGATGAGCACCTGGGCGGCTAGCAGCTTATGCGCCGCAGGTCACCGAAGACAGGCACGAATTAACATCAGTAAGGCTTCCCCACAATACAACCATTAGGAGGCTTGGATTCGGTCTGCCTAATTAAGGCGGTAAGCGCCAGCAAGCAGCTCGACCAGAGTATGAGCTGCAGGTCACCGAAGATAGGCACAAACCAACACTAATAAGTCTCCCCCACAATACGGCAATGAGAAGGCTTGGATTCGGTTTGCCTGATAGGTTTTGTAAACACCTGCAGGCAGTTCTAGCAGAGCAGAGTATGCGCTGCAGGGCACCGAACACAGGCACGCATCAGCGCCTAAAAACCTCCTCACAACATGGCGAAGAGAGGACCCGGATTCGGTTTGCCTGATAGGACTTGTAAGAGCCTGTGGCAACTCTAGCAAGTAGAGCAGAGTGTGTGCCGCGGGACACCGAAGACAGGCACGTATCAACGCTAAAAAATAAAAAGAAAGGGGGATCTGTGGGGAGCAATCCGGACTAGACTAAGTTACTCGAATTAGGACTTATTCTATGCATCTGCTCTCCCACAATATGGCGCTGGGAGAGAAGTAAACAGCTTCCGCACAGCTGCCTCCAGTTCAACCAATTAACTGTAGGACTTGCTCCTGATTGGAGAGCAGCGTACTCGGCGTGTGGGCAGCCGAGTTGGGATTGGCGGAGGAGGACTATAAAGGAGGAGAGAGACGGCATGCACCAGGAACATCTATGGGGAACATCTAAGGGAACCCGTGCAGCCCCCGAGAGAGCCGGCCGGCGGTGTGCCGCTCCCCTGCGGAAGTGGGGAATGTGGCCAGGGGGAACTGCCCTTCCACGGAGGTGGAAGGGATAGTAGCCAACCCGGGAAGAACCAGCAGCAAACCCGGGGAGGGCCGAGCAGACGAAAGAACAATGCAGGGTTCTGTGTCGTTCCTCCACGAAGAGGGGGAGCGACAACTTTGAAAATCCCCTCTAGTTATTTCATTAATATGAATCTCAGCAGTTCAGGCAGAATTTTTCCAAATGTGATTTGCAGCAGAGGTAACAAGGCTAGTTAAGAGAAAATGTGAACCACAGACTCATTTTTTTAAGACTCATTTTGTAAAGACTGCTATGACTCAACACCCAGAGTCCCTATCGGGCCTTGAACTATCAACTTTCAGTGAGCAAATGAGGGAACTAAGGATTCCCCAGCTGACACAGCCCCTGAGCCTCTATGCACGTTCTCTTGCTGCCAGGCTGCAGCACCCCGGGGCCCTGTGCCTCCTGCAACTCTGCAGCTCCAGAAGCCATGGAGGGCAAGGATCACAGGGACACGTCTCCAGCTCCTGTGAGGTAAAATCAAAACCTGGCAGATCTCCGTGAGCTACCAAGTGGAAGGACTCTCATATGCCCATGCACAGAAGGAAACGCTTCATTTCTTTAAGTGACTGGACAGATAAAGATAGCATTTGATATGGCCCAAGTCAGTGCATAGTAACCGAAGACTCATTTCCCGGGCCGTGCAGCCAAGGCTGTGCTACCCGGGGCTTGCACCCCGCCTGCCGGGGCAAATGCGCGGGGGGTCTCAGTAGCTCCTTCCAGCCCCGCACGACGGCCACCGCCCTTTCCTAACTCATTCTTTCCAGGAAGTTGCTGCACGCTGCTCCCAACGTCTTCCTCCCGATGAGCGTCAGTTCTGAGGCTGGTACAGCGGTCTGCCTTCTGGACACGCTGTACTCAGCGCCACCCTTTCCTGGGCCCGGCTGTGGCGGTCTTCACACTCAGCCGCTCCTCCCTTAGGTTGGTGTCTCCAGCAATGGGCTTCCAGGCTACCAGTGTCTTCTGCGGGGAGAACACAGGGGCGAGAGGCGTCAGTGGTGCGGTCGGTGCGCAAGGCCTCGGCATCCTGAGGCGCAAGAGTGAGGCTGGGCGGGGCTTGCGCAGACGGAAGGGACCAGCACACAGAGGCGCCGACAATGGGCGTGGCGTCTGCCCACGTGGCTGTTTCCCACAGTTTGAGGGCTGCCGTGGAGACCCAGGCTGGGAGTGGGCGCTAGGACTTGTGGTGCGCTGGAAACAAGTTCACGACTGCTGGCTGATTCGGGCACAGGTTTGGTCTTCGCACTGGGCTCTGGGACGCAGGTGTGAGGGTTCCTGGAGACCTTTCTGTGCTGCGCTAGGAATGCTGTCAACTTAGTCTTGAACCTTGAAAAGGCCCTGAGCTATCTAAACTGTGTGTCTTCTCTATCTTTAGAAAGGGTCTGGTAACAAGAGAGGGATGGGGCAAATCTTCCTATTCTAGTGCCCACCCTAGCAGCAAGACCCCAGGGATCTTAGGGCGACAGCTCTTTTTTGGTGAATATTTGTAGTTAGAAGAACCAGCAGAATTGATTATTGGAGGCCACATTAACATTTGGAGAAAGATGAGAGTAGAGATTCAGGTCCAGTTAGTGGGGAGGCAGGTAAGTGTTGATCCCACAGAGGAAGACCCCCTGTTCATGCAGCGCATTTGTCAGATGGATGGAAACAGATGTTTACGTGTATAAAGGCCTTGTGCTGTTTCTGTTCTCCTAGATGTTGAGCGTGACTGATAAGGTGGCACCTGTGAGAGGCTATAGGAGGATGTTAGGGTCAACTTGGGCCACTCCTGACTATTTATTTTCATCAACAACAAAATGTGTCTGGGTATCTATGAGAGACCAGTTGGTAGAATATTTATATGTGTTTGGAAGAAGGCACTATGTCAATTTGAGTTCCTGAGGCATGTTGCCAGGGAAGGCCCCCAGAGCATATGGAGTTAGAGATAGATGAGTTGGGCACAGAGAGGGTGGGAGAGCCTGAGAACAGGACTGATTGTGTGAATTTACCATTAGCCTGGGGGAAGACATAGTAATCTATCCAGTGTGGTTAGAGGGGCCAACTGTATTCCCCAGGGTGATGTTGCCCCAGGAGGGGGTGCAAAAAGGAGCCTAAGCTTACAGTGGCAAATGGGTGCAACTGGGCCAAGGATTGGCATTTTGATATAGGGGAATTTTGTGATATTGATGTGTAGTTGCTCTCCTTTTCTGTTTTAACTGAGAGGTGTTCCCTGGAAGTGACACAGAAGGACTGTGGAGTAGGGAGGGCAGTATAGGTGGAGGATAGAAAGAGCCAGAACCAGCAGTGCTTAGCGAGATATGCATTTGTGTTACTTATTTATTTAAAAGACTGTTTATGTTCTTATTTGAAAATCAGAGTTACAGAGAGAGATTTTTCACCTGCTGGGTCATTCCTCAAATGACTGCAACAGGGAGTCTGGGTCTCCCATGTAGGTGACAGGGACCTTAACACTTGAACCATCTTTTGTTGCTTTTCCCAGTCATTAACAGGGAGCAAGATTGGAAGTGGAGCAGCGGGGACATGAACCAGCACACACATGGCATGCCAGCATTACAGGTAGCAAATTTACCTGCTATACAAGATTTGTGTTATTGAAAAGTGAGAGAAAGTTATGTGCAGCAAGAAAGTTTTGAAAGGGGACTGGACAGGAGAGGGACATGGTAGCAGTCAAGAGAAGCAGTGTGGAATCATCTTTGGGTGTCAGAGGTCAGAATAAGCAGAACCACCCAACCAAACAGAAAGGCACTCAAAAGTATAAACCGATCACCCTGGAGGAAACAGTCCCCCAGGAAATCACAGAGTTGCTGCCGGGTTTGGATGGGGATGGCAGCTTTTGAGTCGGTCAGAATAAGATCATAGAACTGTCCAGAATCAAATATGAAGGGAGGGGCTCACAGTTTTGTGAGCAGGCATACCCTCCTTTTCTGAATCCTCTGGAATAGTGGTGAGACAAAGAGAAGTGGTTGTCAGGTCATGCAGCTGCCACTTCCTCAAGGCCTGTCCCTAACTGTCCTGGGTTGGGGCAAGTTTTAACCTGGAAAAAAAAAGAATCTAGAAGGGAAAACTTAGTAAGTTTGGCAGCTGTGGCGGTTGTCAAAATGATGAAATAAGAAGACCTACTCTAACTAGGTTGGACTGGCTTTAGGCTGAGGGTTTTTACATAGACCCAGTCCCTGACATTAACCTGTAATAGAGAGGGATAAGGGTAGGGTTTTGGGAAGAAGGAATCCATGAAAATGAGCAGGGATTGGAGAGTCTGGGCTAATTCTGGAATATAGTCTCTAAGGGAAGAAGATGAAGAGGAAAATTGCCTAAAATTAAATGGTGGCTGTATATGAGATCAATAAGGGTAAGTTGGTGTGGGATGTACTTTGAAGTCACAGAAACCCAGCAGGAAGGAGGGAGGGCCAGGTTCTAAGTTTGGAGCATAAACTTCCTGAGATGCATCTTAATGAAACCATTCATTCTTTCTACCCTGCCTGAGGGTTGTGGGCAACGGGGGATATGGAGTTTCCAGCTTACCTTTAGGGTGGTGAATACCTCCTGTGTAATTTGAGAAGTGAAAGCTAGTCCCTTATCAGAATGAATGCTAGTGGGGAGGCTGAACTGAGGGATGATTTCTTTTACAAGAAAGGTTATCATGATGTCAGCCTTCTCTGATGAACAAGGGAAAGCCTGTACCCACCCAGAAAAGGTGTCTGCAAAGACAAAAAAAAAAAGTTTTATCGTTTTGATCAGAGGCATGTGAGTAAAATCTATTTGCCCTCTGGCCTGGTGAGACGGGATATGGGGGTTTGAGACGGCCATTGGGAGAAGGCTTTTGGCAGATAGAGCAGGACAGAATGATACAGAGATGGGAAAAGAGATGGGTGATGGTTGGTTGTGAAGGGAAGTGAGAAGACCAAAAGTCCCCTGTCTTAGAAGCATTACTCAGACATTCTTAAGAAACCAACTGTGCTTTGTTAACTTCTCTTTGTAAGGGCAAATCAGGCTTCTCTGGTGAGTACGGGGGAGGCTGTGGCAGGTTGGTCCACCTGACCTGGTACAATGCTTCTCTGTTTGTTGTATCCCAGGGCAATTAAAAAGTTTTTTATTCGCTATCTCCTGCAGTGGAGGATGGCTACTAGTGGAATGTTGCTGCCTGGAGTAGTTTTAGAATGAGGGTGCCATTGATGATAGAGAAGCCCCAGGTTGTAATATAACCTCTTGCTCACCAAATAGGAGCATGAGTGTATGATATGATAGACGTATTTGGAATCTGTGTACATATTTACATTTAGACCTTTGGTCAGGGTGAGGGCTCAGGTAAAAATAATAAGCTCTACCTGTTGTTTAGTTGTGCCTGGTGGTAAAAAACTGTGTGATGTCATAGCCCGTCCAAGAGGAGCCTTTAATCTTGGTCTCCTATCTGTAAACCAACAAGGGGCGGATTTAGCCAGGGGGAAATAGAGATGTTGGGAAAAGGAATTAGGAATAGATCAGGATTTCATCACAGGTGTGTTGGAGGTCTTTATAGTCAGCATGGGTAGGAGTTACAAGGAGAGGGGCTGGATTAAGAGAGGAGCACCTCTGGAGTGTGACATTGTGTTTTTATAGAAAGGATTGTAAATGGGGAGCTGAGATCATGGAGATGGCCTGGTGGGATAAAAGGGACTGAATAGAATGTGAGATGTGTAGAGTGAGGTTTTGAGAAAGAAATAATTTTGAGCTTTCTAATATTAGCTGTGAAGGCAGCAAAAGCAGAGACTGGTTGGCCCACCCAGCAGGATTTTATCCAGCTGCTTAGAGAAGTAAGCTACTGGCTTAATATCAGGGCCAGAAAACTGGGTAAGGAGTCCAAGTGTAAAACTCCTCTTTCCAAAGGGTTTGGAAATCAAAGGGTTTAGAGGGATTGGGGAAAGCAATGGCCAGGGGCTGAAGTGAGGGCCTTTTTTAGCTGGTTGAAGGCCATCCTGGTAGGAGCTGAGAATTCAAGGTGGTGACAGGGTCATTGGGATTCTGCCTATATAAGGGTATAGTGATGACTGAATTGGGTATCCATATGTGGAAGAAACTGACCAGGGGCTGGTACTGTGGTGTACTGGGTAAAGCCACCGCCTGCAGTGCCAGCATCCCATATGGGTGCTGGTTCAAGTCCTGGCTGCTCTACTTCTGATCCAGCTCCCTGCTAATTCACCTGGGAAGGCAGCAGAAGATGGTCCAAATCCTTGGCCTATGCACCCACACTGGAGACTTAGAAGAAGCAGCCCCTGGTTCCTGGCTTAAGATTGGCCCAGCTTCTACTACTGTGACCATTTTGGGGAGTGAACCAGCAGATAGAAACTTCCTCTCTCTCCCTCTTTCTCTCTCTCTGCCTCTCAAGTAATCTTTTAAAAAATGGCCAATTCTAAGAAGGAAGATACATTTGATTTTGATTTGGGAACAGTGACCTGGCCAATTAAAAACTTACGGTTATGTGTAAGCCCTCTGTGTGTAGGTATAATGTGTAATCCGAGATAGATTACCTTGGTTTTGAAAAACTGATCCTTCTGGTAGGAAACTCAACAGCTCCAGTGTGCTAGGAAGTTGAGAAGCTAGATAGTCTGTGAAATACACTTCATTAAGAAGAGCTACACCGGAGATCACTTACATACTGGAGAAGGGTGCTGGGTTATATGGACAATACTTAGAGGTCATTTGATAAAGCCTATCTACCAAAGATGTGGAGACTGTCCCAGAACTACTGGGGGAGGAATGTCCAGGTTAGCTGTTGAGAAATTTTAGTAGAGGGGTCTGTTCAGGTAGTGCAAAAAGATATTGAAAGCAAGGAACAAGAGGGATAGTAAAGAAAGCATCTTTTAAGATCTTTAACAGTGAAATGAGTAGTGTGTGGGGGAATTAAAGAGAGGAGGGTGTGTGGGTTACAAAAAACCAGAACTACAGGGAGTGTAGCCTCATTTAGGATACATAAATCTTGTACCAAGCAGTTTTTTTTTTTTTTTTTTGTACCAATCAGGTTTTCTTTAACAGAAAGAATGGGGGTATTATAAGTGGAATTAGCTGGCCTGAGTAACCCAGGCCCAGTGGAATTAGCTGGCCTGATACCCAGCTAATAGCAGTCTAGTAATTACAGGTTCAAGCCCTTGCAAGGCCTGTGGCTTAGGGGGATATTGAGCTTTGTCAGGGAATCAGGAGGGGTCCTTGAGGGATATTATTATGGGGGTGTGATGGAGAACAACTGAGGGGTATTCAGTATTCCAAAGGGGTCTTCCTGGCTAGAAAGTATATCTGGAAGTTGTGAAAGATTTGGGGTCTCGAGAGAAGGGCTAGCAATAGGAGGGTAGGCAGGTAAGGGTCAGAGGCTTATAACATAATGGCAGAGTATAGCTTAGCCAGTAAGTCCCATCCAAGGAGTGAAATCACACAGGTAGGTAGGAAAAGGAAATGAGAGGAGATAGTAGATCCTATTGAGCAAATAAGGGGTTGATTTTTGAGCAGCTGTAAAATTTGGCCATTGACCCCCACCTCCCCATAATAGAAAGAGGAAAGGACTAAATGTCCCATATGTTCTCATAAAACTGAATACATTTCCCTCTGTCAAAGGAGAAAGATGAGCTTACCTGCTACCTTCAGGCAAACCCTGGGGTCCACATTGGTGATGATGGCAGGGGCCCTCAAACTCAGGCCTAGTCAGTCCTCAGCAGCTAGTTCAAGAAGGTCAGGAAGGGACAATCCTGGTTCAGACTGCCAGTGTCTTCTTACCTTACATGCCGAGCATTGCCCCAGCAGAGCCCGGGGATTGGCACAAGCTCTTGCCCAGTATCCTTCCTTCTTGCACTCAAGACAAGGTCCTGTAGGCTCTAAAGCGCAGTAGGCAGAGGTTTTTGCTGGCCCCCTTGAAGTGCAGAAGTAGCTGGTGTTTAGCCCAATCTCTTTTTAGTTTTTGAGTTTTAAATCTCTCTTATTATTAAAGACCTTGAAGGTGGCTTTTAGGAGGTCCTTTTGAGAGGCCTATGTCTCATCCTCTAATTTTTTAACCTATTTTTTGGATATCTGGGGGATGCCTGGGAAATAAAATGAATGTGGCAATAGTACCCTTACCTCTGACTCTAGATCTAAGTTGATATATTTGAGGAGGGCCTCTCTGAGTTGGCTCATAAAAGCCTTGCGGGGTGGCAGGGTTACCATCAGGCTTTCAGGTGACTTGAATTTTTCTGTAATTCCCTGCCCTAAGTCTTTTCCATTCTCTAAAATATGCAGGTTAAGAAATGCACCATTATTGCTGGGTCCATGGACTTGGAATAGTACTTCCATTGGGGGTCACTGGGAAAAACTGCATTAATTCCAGCAGGGTACTGTTTAGAGTCCTGTGTGTGTAAGGAGCTGGCAAAGGCTGTGATGACAGCCTAAATACAGACCTTCTCTTCAGGTGTAGCTGAAGAGGAAATAATAATATCCTAATAGGTTAGATCACAGCTGTCAGTAGGATAGAGGAATTTCTTTGGTGTAGTGGGCAAGATCTGTGGTAAAGGAGCCTAAACACTTCATTTTAGGCCAGGTCACAAAGTGACAATGGA